TACATCTATCTTCCTTTCTGTATGTGTGTATCAATAGGCCTATTCTTTTTGACTGAACTTTTGCACCAATTCATCCTTCTTCTTCTTCTTCTTCTTTCTTCCTGAAGAGAAAAGGAAGAAAGATGAAGAAGAACTGCAAAAGTTTAGCCAAAAAGAACAGACCTTATGTAGAAGTATATATTATTGCGTATAGGCATTATGCATCAAGTTATTTTCTTCGTTTCTTTCTCATCACACTTCCATTTCTTCCACTGTTATACAATAGTAATAATAATATTTATAATAATAACAATTATAAGAATACGAACTTTGATAATTATCTAATGTCGCCAGCGCGACACATTCTAGCTGTCGTATTTTATTTATATGAAGAACATGACTACTTTATACGGCGGCTGAACCAAGAAGTATATCTTCATATTCTTACTTCCTGCTTAAATTGCTAAGTGATGATCGCAAATTTTTTCTTGCAAGTACTGTTACCTGAACATTGTGTAACTAACATCATTTATAAGCAAGAATAAAAAAGATGTTTCTACAAATATTTTAATTAACCTGTCGGAAATTGAAAATGTTCATGTTTGAGAACCTTTTTAAAGTAAAAATTCTGCGACGAACAAATTAATTTTAAAATTTTACATTTTCATCTCACTCTGAGATGCCGACGGGAAATCGCAAATCGAAGGCTGCATATCTTTTGATATAGCATAAGGTGTCTGTTTTAACGTGTAAATATATAAATAATTATTTGCAATGCAGTAAGTAAAATAATTGGCGTTTAATTGGCGAGATACAGTGCATTTTTTTCGTTTGCTGCTCTTCGACGCGTAAAAAATCGATCTATAAAGGAACGAATATTGGATTGTTTGAATCGCTAATTCGAGAGCTCGAAAGAGAGTTCGGATCGAGCCGAACGTTTAAAGAATCTACATCACACGATGATTTTTAACAAGCGATCATTTAATCCGAATTAGCAGAATAAGTGATTTTTGCAAGTGATACAAGACAGTATTTAGAGCATGTACAATTGGAGGAAGTATATTTATGTCATTTTATAATTTGATGAACATTTTTCTTAGAATTCTTCATATAATTTTTCAGAATTTTTATGTGAATTTCTGTACAATTATCTTTTTAGACAATTTTCTGTATGAATTGAAACACATTTCTAAAGTGTTATGCAAGTTTACATCTTTTCTAAAACTTTTCATTTATGAATTTTAAAATAATCTAAGATTTTTAAGATTTATCATTCTATAATTTCTAAAGAAAAATTTATAGAATCTGAAAAAGTTTAAGGTATTTAAGTTATTTTTTCAGAAAGCTTCATAAATTTAAGTATTAAAAATTTTTAAAAATATTATGAGATAATATAAAAATTTTTCCAACAGGATTAAAAAAAAATTAAAAATTACGAACTTCTTCGATTTGATATTTAATTAATTATATTACTGTACAAAATTTTTTGTTAGATTGTTTTACACAT